TTATGGCTAGGCACTGGCTCCTTTCTGAAGTCAAAAAAAAAAGCAACAAACACTTTGGCTCATTATTTTTGTAACAGTGCTTCTAATATGCTTTATTTTCACAGGTAAATCATTAGTGTAAAATGAAAAGAAGGGGGCAGAGTAAAACCTAAAGGGTAGAGTCCTCAAAAATAGTAATTTAGAATTAACCAGTGACTCCCAGTTTACTATCCTCTTACATCACAACATTATGTCAGCTTTCTGACGAAATTACACTAAGTGAAGCTGAGTGTCAGCTTCGATGTGGGCACTGGAAAAATAAACCCAGGAGAGTTCACAGTGCAGCTTGCTTCCCCATTCCGGGGAAGGGAAATCCATCAATTGTGCCCAAAAGGGGAGGAGATAGGGATGCTGAGAAGGAAAAAACATGTTCTAAAACAGTTGAAAGCAAACACATGTTCAAGTCAAACAGCACAGTTACTGCAGCTGGGAAACAGTAAAACCACGATCAGCAATGGAGGAGGAGACCGCACCAGAAACACAGGCTGGCTACGAAGTTTAGAACAAGACTGAGGGTGTATCGGGGGAGTCGTGGATTCCATTTCTCCAAGAGCATCTGGTGTGCTATCTGAACAGAGGCTATTTCAAGTAAAGAATTAAAAAAAAAAACAACATTCTTTAGAAGTGACTTTGTGCTCCCCGCAGGAGAGCACTGTGACAGAATGTAATTCTCCTTCATAATTGCATTATGACTTCATGCCGAAACCACAGACACCCTGGCTCTGAAGTGAGTGCAGCTCTGTGAAGTAGGATTTATTAGAGTATCTTAATCACAAGACTGGAGAGATGTGCAAGCCCACCCCTGTGAATCAACTTGTGGGGTCACTATATTGTTTGACAACATTCTACGTGTACAGGCAAAACGCAAATTATAAATTTCCAATATGGGTTATAAATGCTGTAAATAGCTTGCAAAATGAGATTGCCTAATTGCCCTGACAAAGGCTTTTTTAAACTTAGTTTTGTTGTTGTCTTTAATTCAGCTGGGTCTATGAGGAAAACAGGTCACAAAAAGTTGAGTTGGACTTATAGTGTTGTAGGGCCATGAAATTAAAAAGGCCTGCTGAGCTATTGTCTCTATTTTAATTTTAATTACCATGAGGGCAAATTTATTGTACATTTATTTTATACAGTCAACAAAAAAAACAATCCCATGTTCTTGCAAACCCAGTAAGTGTGTACGGTCTTAATAGTGAGTCTCTGGCTGTTTTATGCACATCATCTAAATGAGGCATCCAAGGGCGGGCCCCACACTGCTGTTTGGAAGACACACATTTCACTACATATTGACTCCTCTTCTTAGTCTCCCAGCCATTCAGTTTATGGGACCCTATCTTGAATAAATGAAACATCACCTCTATTTCACGTTACGGTATAAGATATTTACAAAATGAAAAGGCTCTGAGAATGCGTGAGATTAGCGACACCAGCCATTTAACCAAGTCCCCCCCAAAAAAAAAAATTACTGCATGAGAGGCAGCTGGGCAATATTTAGTTGAAACAGTCATGTGTAAGCTCCACTGTGGCACATTCTAATCCTTTCATATGGATTCTCTCCAACTTAGAATTGTTCATTGAGTGTGACAGACCGGGGGTTTAAAACTAATCCATAAATTAGTCCGTGGTCTCAAACACAACGGGTGCCATAAATGAAAATGAAAATCCTAGAACAAAATTAAATTCACAACCTTAAATACTTTTTCTTCTCCAATTGCTCCGTGGTGCCCCTGCTTTACGACGCACAGATTCACTGCAAGGCTGCATTTTGGGGTGTGAGTGGGGTGTACATTAAAAAACGCAGTGTCAGAATCTGGGGAACCCAATGTGCTCAAAAGCAGAGCTTAATTGTAAAGAATTTAAATTCTCACGTTTTGATTGTCATAAGCTTAAAAGAAAGCACACTAAGCAGTCCAGACATATCTTAATACACTTTCTCCCAGTTTGTTTTCTGAACCAAAGTCAATAAGGAGCCAATGGGTTTTCTTAATTGAATTCCCCTTCAGTTGGTGTTATGCAGCTGCTTTAAATCTGGATGCCAGGGCAGGCAAGGAATTCCCCTGACAATTTTATTTTCATAGCTGTGCTGTGCTGGCCAATATATATTAAACATAGGGTTTTTTTCCCCTTTAATTAATTAATTTATTTTTGACTTATTTGAAATCTATTGAAAGCAAAAATATGTGCTGGAAAATTAAACTTTGAAATTTATTTTCTACTGGTTTCCCACTAAATTTTCTTTCCATCTATGTAATACTTTAATTAAACTCCCATTTCTCAAGGATGGGAGAAGTGGATGGGAACAGAACTGAAGCTAAAAGGTCCAGATAGGAGAGCCATGACAGAGTTCGCTTTCTTCTTAACGTCATCTTCCCTTTGAGGGAAGACACTGTGCACCCCAGAACAGCAGGAAGGGGAGTGGGTATTAGTGCTTTTTTGGGTTAGGCAATTTCAAGTTTTGTTAAAAGCTTCTCCAGAATTGTTCACTAGTGCTGCTGTGCCCCTGAGATCTTTTCATTTGCAAACCAGATGTTCTGAAAATAATAGGAATCTGTACAGTGGTTTCATTTAACAAGGAAGACAACTCTTACACCATGTTGTGTGTGAATGCTGGGAGGAAGGAGGGACAGAAGGGGGAGGAAGGCAGACGGGAGGAAAGAAGAGAGTGTTGCATGGAGGGTGACGGTGGAGGGAAGGAAGTGGCTCCAGAAATCGTAGCTAATACTCATCTTGTGTTAGACATTGGAGGGCCAAGTCCTTCCGGCTAGTCTTTTATTTCTCGCTCCCGAGATAGCTCCCACTCTCAATTTCTAATCCTGAGAAACCTGTATTTATCATCTTATTTTTTTTGCACTGTTGATAAAGCTTTAGTATAGAAACATGTCAAGTCTTAATAGCTTGTGGGGTTTTTCTTTTCTTTTTTTTTTTTTTTGCTTGAGGAAGATTTGCCCTGAGCCAACCTTTCTCCATTTTGTATGTGAGCCACCACCACAGAATGGCTGCTGACGAGTGGTGCAGGTCCACACCCAGGAACTGAACCCAGGCTGCTGAAGCGCAGCATGCTGAACTTAACCATCAGGCCATAGGGCTGGCCCCTTGCTTGGGTTACTTTTATACAAGGAGCATTAAAGTATGAAAATTATGATAGAAGGCATTAGGAAAAAATCTCACTCACTTCCCATCTCATTCCTTTTTTCAAAAAATGCAGAATCAGGTGACCTTTATCACTGTAGTATTTTAATTTTATCTATCCCTCATAAATCAATATGGGTCAAAAACTGGTTGGCTATGATGCTATTTGTAACAGGTTTATAATCATCACCAGAATAAAAAAGTATACACTTAAAGACAGTATGAAAAAAATGCTCATGTACTTTTGGGGCAGAAACTTGAAATGGTGGCCCATTACATAAAAGGCGGATGGTGAGTACTTACTGGTACCCTAATAATATTCCTGTCACCAGGCAAACTGGCATATCAGTAGCACTCGATAAATATTCGATAAATGATGAATGAAAAACAGTCTTAATGGAGTAGATGCTAACTCTAGAAAAAAGGCAATTTAGTAAACATTTTAGGATGAAAGATGTGTATTTCCTAGCAACAATGGCTTAATGTATGCCCAGAACATAAGTACACACAAAACATACACACATGGAAGATAGAAGCTTGAAATCAAGTTAGGCCTTCATGCTTAGTTTCCAAAAAGCCATCCTTTCTTATCCACTTTCTCTCCATTCTTTGATGGCACAGACCAAATCCTACTTCTCTTGTGATGCTCTCCTCAGCATCGAGTTCCAGTGTCTATACCTATTCTCTCAACAACGTCTAAGGGGTTAGAAGAGTTTTCTGTCTCTATAGGCACTAGCATAGTGCTGTGCATATTATGAGGGCTTGATATTTGTTGAAGGAATGCCTAAAAGCAGACAAGCTTATACCCCTTGCACCATGCAAATATCAATAGCACAGAGTAGGAATCATTTAGCTGAGACCCTGGTGAACAGACAGCTCTCTGTCGAGCAGAGCAAAGCTCTCTATTGTAATTGAGATGGTCATGTCATAGAGTTAGTCTTAAGCACAGGTGTACTTCTTTCTTTTATATTTAAGAAGCTGAAAACATGTGCTAGGGGGTTGAGTTTCCCCAATTTGGCAAATTCTACAAATATCACTGAAGGATAAGGGCCGTATTCACCTTATTGATTTATGTGATTTGATCCACATTACACATAAAAAGCTTAAGATAGGAGACTATGAAAGCCAAAATGGTAATGTGAGCCCAGGGGTGGGACTTTCTCCAAGGTATACTGGGTTTGAGTGCTTAGATGCCAGTAAGAAAAACCTTGCTGTTTTCTTTTCCAAGAAACACAAAATATTTAATTAAATACGTATTTTAAAATTTAGAAATGACCTACTTCATTCTTATGAAAGGATTTTTAAACGTGTTTCAGAATTTGGCCCTATAGCCCTTCATTTCTTATTCTAAGGTGATTTTAATTTTTTAATTTATGACAGTCACATGTGTCGTGTGACCTACAAGTTGAACTCCTCCCAGCCTGAGTTTTATGCTTAAGCTGCTAAAGGCATTAAAACCAAGTGCTGAGTGCCTTCCACGGTACTCCTCACCAAGCATCTAACCAGGATGCAACCAGACAGAAACAATACAAAATCCACATTAACCAGGAAGGTAAACACAAAATGTTTGCGTAAGATGATGACAGGAAAAAGCTTGATCCAACTGGCAGAAAGGGGCGAAGACCATCTCCAAGCACAGCATCAGGTAATTTCATGTACGCCTAACACACAAGGTCCACTAACCTCAAAGAAAGTTCAAAACCAAACAAACGAACAAATAAAACACCCCAGTATGGCAGTAGATTTTTCTTTGATTCTACTCTCTGAGAGGAATCTGCATGAAGGACTCTTACGCCGGGTCATGGCTGGCTCTCTGTATTTTAACAGAAGACTCCGAGGACAATTTAAATTATGCAGTGTGCTCTTCCACACTGTGGCATTTATCTTCATGAATGAAACCACATGGACAACTTGACGTGATTTAAAATAAAAAAGTAAAACAAGGAGTGGGGGCCTGCCAATAGCAAAAGTGGAAACAGAAATATATGGCCAGAACGTCAATGAATATGAAAGAGAACAAAGACACCAAAGAATCTTATGGCAAATCAGAATGAGGCGCCGGAGGGCTCCCGTCCCAATTCTGCTCCTCCAGTGGTTTTTGTTTGGAAAGAGATTCTGATGACATTAATGGCCTAATAGTTGTAAAGCCACCCAATGTTGATATGGCAAACTGACATCAAATATTCCTTTCAGTACTTGAGAGCCTATGAAAATTCTTGCCTAGAGGAAGCCACCCTCAGACGTGTGCCTTCACTTGTAAGTCAGGAGTCCTGCTCTGCGCAGGACGGACAGGGGACAGAGACACCCAGCTCCTCCCACCCATCAGGTCTATGATTCTGGGTGAGCAACGTCGACTCACGCTGGCTCCCGATTCCTCTCTTTCCAGGGTCTGGAGGATGAAGCTTTAACATGTTTCGAGGGAGCTGGATACCTGGGAACTCAATGGCAGTCTGCCTCCCTAACAAGGGGAACAATTCGATTATCCTGCTTACGGAAGATAAAAGATAACACTGGAACACTTCCTTTCGGAGAAATCAGAAATCAACTATGACCTTTCGAGTTTAAAAATATTTCTCTATTGCATTTGTACATTTTTCTTATAATGAAACTCTGACCTGGGGAATGGGTTTCAGTGATTGCATTTGACTGGGAGAAAAGAAATAGATGACTATGGGCTTCTTTTTTTTTAAGCTTGGGCTTTATGTTACTGTCACTGGATTTAGCTGTTGAAGCTTTTAAGGCTAATGGTGGCTGTAATGTACCAAACAGTGCAGGAGAGACGAAGAGTGGGAATTAATTTAGCTATCCATTTGTCAAGATTCAGTTGGGGGATTTTTTAGGAACCAATCTAAATCTTGGGGATAGCCTGAACCTTTAAAATGGGACACGGAATCATTCAGCTCCATAACCTTTAATCTGTTTGAAGAAAGGAGCAAATGTTAAATTGCACAAGTGTACTTTCTGGGCAAGATAAATATATATAAGACAGCTTGTTAAGACACAGTAAGCCTATAAGATCACATCCATTAAGGCAGCGGATTCTACAATGTTGTTTTAGTGGCAATTTTAGTTGAATTCCTCCTGGGTGTGCCGGTGAGAATCTGGACATTCATTCCCACAAACGCATTCCGTGTGTGGAGAGGGTTCAAGTGCCAACATCGAGGGGCTAAAGGGCATCTCTGAGATCATCTTACATTACCTTGAGCTGAGAGGCCAGGAGCAGAGAGAGAGAAGCAACAACAAGCCCCTACTAAAGGTACTTTGGATGTGGACAGAAATACAGCCTTGTTTGTTTTTAGACTTTCCTCTTAAATGGAGTCTCTGCAGTCAGAACTGTGATAACAGTGAGTTGTAGCTGTTGGAAGACATGAGATCAGCTTTAGTCTGGAGTGAAGGATTAAAGAGCTGTGAACTGGAGCGCCTTTGCTGCATGGCTGAGAGTGACTGTGAGGGGGGAGGGGTTCAGGGGGTGTTAGAAAAGGTCTTAAAAAAAAAAAAAGCCTAAGCTAGTGAGAGGCTGGCCACAATGGAAAGTGTTGTTCCATATTAAAGAGGAATGCAGTGTTTATACGGAGTGAATAAGGCCTTGCCTGCCTTCAAACGTAAACCTGGCTAGCTACCTGGCTGGGACCTTCTACACTGAGAGGTAAGAAAGGCTGGCTCACACCTGGGCAACTTCTGCAAGGAGGAGACAGACTACTGAGGGGCTTTCACACACGCAGGGCAGTGGACACGGGTGATCTACACAGACAGCCAGAGCGCCGTTCACAGGAAACTAGAAATATCCGGGAACAAGAGCTCAAGCCTGATTCAGTTTTTTTCAACCTGGAGAAGAGGTAAGAAATCATAAAAGGTAAACACCCAGTCCACAGTGTGGAAAGTTGATGGTGTGGTTGCTCTGGGAATCAGAGTTAAGAAGGAGCATCTTTGCTGTGCTTATTAATGATACAGAAAGCGGGAGGAATCTACGCACTAAACTAACAAACCGAGTTTACTTAAGAAGCAGAAGGAACTAACAAAACGCTAAAACAGAAATACACACAGACAAGAATTTAGGAAGCAGTCTGGATGGAGCTGAGTTTACAGTGAGACACAAAAACCAATTGATGGATTTTCAGAAGATTTTAAACTAAGCGCAGGCACTGATATTTTTATAAATAACATTCAGAAAAATCCCTACTAGTGGCTTATTAAAAAATTCTCGTTGTTCCCCTGTGATGGTTAGAAAGGTGAAGAAAACTCAGATTAGACAATTATTGTTATAGTTCACAAATTGATGAAGCCTCCTCTTTCACTGAATACTTTGAATTTTTGTCATCTCTATCTCACCAGCTCCCATGAAAACTGAAAATGTCTCCAGAAAGTCAACGTAAAGGATGGTTGCCATATCCAGGGTGGTAAAGAGGATTTACACATGAAGAACGATGAGTAAAACATTCAGTGTTTTTAAAGAAGTTCAGCGATAGGATTGTATACGGGCCACGTGGCTCAGAGAGAACTTGCAGTCTCATCAGATAACAGAAAGAAGCAGAAAAGTTATTTTTAAAAGAGATTTTCTTTTTTCTCATAGAATAATTACTTCTGCACATTTCTGTGGTAGGACCCTGTAAAGAGTGGGTGGAGAAGGCCTTCCCTAAGGAGATTCTGTATGTCTAGTTGACACGGTGCAGCCATGGCCTTTTCTCTCTTGGTAGGCAGAGGAAACTCCAAGGCTCCCAGACAAGCAACATCAAGCAGGATGAGAGCCACTGGATGCCAGGCAGGCATGGATGGCATACCCCCTCCCATAGGGACAGTCAGAATAAGAGACAGTGAAACTCATTTTGAATAAGAGTTTCAGACAGTCCAAAGAGAGAAAGCCACAGAGTTACAACTGCTGTGGCTGCCACTTCCACCCCTCCAACATTTAACTAAGGGCAGCAAGGGGTTCATGAGTGCCCAGCACAGAAGAGACAGTGTCCCTCTGATCTCCTGAGACTGACTACCCAGGCAACACACAGGTAGCAACACTGTCAGCAGGTACTCTCTGGGGCAGGAAGGACGATGACGCATTTGGGAACATGACCCACACGGGCATGTTAAAGGGTGTATATTTTCCTTCAAATGGATTAAGATGAAATTAAGACAAGGAGAAGATCCAAAGCCAGAATACTTACCATTTTGTCAACCATGGCTAAGCATAAGCTATCAGCATGGTCTGTAATAGCCAGGCTGTCATTTTCCCTAGCATTTTTCTTTGAATAGTGACGTTTAAAAAAGAACTCTCTTATGTGAAAGCTGCAACATATCTGATCTACTGTTAAATGCCTGGATGTTAAAGATTTTCTGAGAACTTGAGAACATAGTATCCAATGCCTTTGAAGTTCCTAAATAAAGGAACAATTAAATTCCAAGGATTTAAAGGGAACTTTCAGGCTTCTTTTTATACATACCAGAAAGACATTATACATTGAGGACATTTTCAATGGTAATGAAGGTACCATACCTGTGATGATGGTAAGGATGGTGGTGGTGGTGGTAGTGGTGGTGGTGGTTGTTGTGGGAGGAGGGATAGTTGTGGGGGGATCTGGATAAAAAAAAAAAGGAAAATCAAACCCACAATGCTGAACACAACAATGATCAGTAATGACAAAACAAAGGCATGAGGACATTGAGATGTTTGTCTGATGACTTCCCCCTGTAAAACCAAAAGTTCTTTTCCCCCCAAAGATTTATGTCTTCTAATTATAGTCATGAGTCACTTAAAGATGGGGATAACGTTCTGAGAAATGTGTCGTTAGGCGATTTTGTCATTGTGTGAACATCACAGACCTAGGTGGCATAGCCTACTACACACCTAGATTCTATGGTACTAATCTTATGGGACCACCGTGGTGCATGTGGTCTGTCATTGACCGAAACGTTAGGTGGTGCATATCCCAAAGCCTTAGCTGGAAGAGCTAAGAAAAGAAGCAAAGAGATTTGTTTTAATGAAGGGAGCTAGAGATCAGAAGATGGGAAGCCGAGAAGGGAAGAAAAATCAAAATATATATGACACCCCCCACCCCAATCTGATTTCAAAGGTGAGGTTAAACCAACTTGGCACCCGAGTGTGTACAATGGTTGTCATTTCGTTTTATACTTTCACAGATGGGAGAAAGGAGGAGGAGATGACGCTGCTCTGTCTAAAGGGCTCCTATCGGCCAAGGATGAGGTGCTCCGGCTCCCTTGCTCTCTCTGACTGTTAACTTCATTATTCTCCATCAATACCTCCCAGCAGGAAGTAAAAACTACTTCTATACTTGTAATAAATACAAAGAAGAGAGAATGTCACCACTAAATATCAAGTTCCAGGCATGTGAGATTTTACTGAGATTTTCTTTTTTAAAAGTCAATAAATTTTACAACTTATAAATATTAATCAGTTTGTTGCCTTTGCTCATGTTAAAAGCTTGACCTAAGTGGACGACAATGATAAAACTAAAGAACGTTTTCCGTCTTGTAAACAAGAGGACTAAATATAAACGAGGCTTGACCCTCAAAGCCAGGAACCCAACAGGGAATCCTCTGTCAGATGTTTGATATACTGTATATTCTTCTATCATCTCAAAAACTATTTGGGGGAAAAGGGAAGGGCAAATATGAAAGAGAAAAAAAAATTCTAAGCCCAAATGATCAAACTGAATGTGTTAAATTGTCAGCGAGACTTTGAACTAAGCAATCACTCTGCTAGAATAGAGTGTAAGACGAGTTGAAGGCTTTTGATTTTAATTTTTATCTAAAGCATGCCAACTTTTTCTCCTTGACACATTTGGTGTCCTTTTATCTCCAAGTGAGCTCTCAGATTGTCTAATTAATCCATCACAACTTTAATTATATACTGCACCTTCATTGAGTTCCGTACAACTTTCTGAAAGTTTATAAAAACATTATCTTGGTGCTTGGGTGTCAGGTCTGCTCAAAATGATTCCTACCAGTGATCAGTAATCTGAGATTTTAAACTTCCTCACAGACTTCTCTCACACAGACACGAAGGGATGAACTTGATAGGGAAGAGTCAACAGCAAATTGTTCTGTTTTCCTAGAGGCCTTGTTCATTTAAGTTGGGGCTGTAAGCAGTTTAGACCATGTAGCAGTTAGACCACAGGTGGGGAAGTATTCTGTGCCCTGGCAGGTCACCTGAATGCACCTGCACTCTGCTGCAGGCGCAGGAGCAGACACAGATGAGTGAGGTGCACCGGCCCCTGAGCCGAGCACTGAAGATGCTCTGCTCCCTCCGCTGCCCAACTCAGCTGTACCCAGGGAGGTGCCTGCTGCCCAGCATGTGGATAGCTAATGCGTTTTTTCTGTTCTGATTCAATTACAGTATTTATCATGGAAAAGGATCATCTGTACCTGGGAGATTTCTGATACACTTTAATGCTATGTCAGTACCTATCTTCAAATGTATTGGCACAAAATGTGTGATGCCCATAATATAATCAAAGTGGACCTGAAGGTGATTTGAAAATATGATTAGGAATAAGGAGTGGACCAAACTAACGAGGGCAGAGACTTCAGAAAAAGGTCACCAGTCCCTTTCATTTTGTGAAAAAATCATACACTTTCAATTACTTTCATCACTACTGAAGTGACTATTGTCTTTCACATCTGGCTCAAGTGACCTGAGTGAATCAGATTCCTTTAAGAGGTATGACCTCAAGGCTTATATTATTTCTAGCAATAAGAGCAATGTGAGGCCACAACTTAAGAAAATACTGAGTTGGAGCTAATGAGCTGTGTTTGACACAAAGAGGCTAAAAGAACAAAACCAAATGGGGCTCAGGCGCTAACCAGCTAGATTCTCCTAGAATAGAAGTTACTTCTAGAGAATTAAACCATTTTAAAGGTGTGTTAACTCTTAGTTCATAAAGTACTTGGAAAGTTAACTGGAGTAGTACCATAAATCACCATCTTCTCAAATTGCTAGAATATATTTTAATAGATTAACAACACCTCAGGTTAGTATTCTAGCCCGCCATTCTGAGTAATGCTGCTAGCACAGACGAAGGGAGGGAAGAAGTATTTTGCAGATCTATCAAACCCTTCGACAAGGATAAGTGCACCGTCTTAGGTTGGGGAGACGTGTATGTAGCATGCTTGCCTACACAGGTGGGTCTCTAAGTTTCCTGGATTTCAATTAACGCTCTCTGGCCCAGCGAGTTAATTCCAAAAGAACAATCTTATATTAGAGGGAACTGTTCTAATGGGAAGTAGTGAGAAAAAGAGGAACTAAAAAAAGACATGGATTTTGCTGCAGACTTTGGACTCAAAGTTTTGTGGCTCTGAAACATATTTAAGTAACTTTGTGAACCTGGGCAACTTACGTGACCTTTCTAAGCTTCATTTTATCATCTGTGAAATGGCATGATGATTATGCTTACCTCATGGTGTTATTGTGGAGATGAGAGGTGACCAAGCATGTAAAACAGTCATCCTAAGGCGTGGAACGATATGAGCACTCAAGAAACGTTAGCCATAAGCTAGTATCCACAATTATTCAAATGTATCTGTCTATCAAATCCACAAAAGGTTTCTCATCTTGAGATGCAGGAACAGTAGGTACAATAAATCAAAATTGTTTTTCCAGATAACTTAGTCTACTGAATCAAGGAAGCATATAATAGACTGGTGGAAATTTGTCACTGCTTTTTAAAATCTACAGTTAGTAAAAAGGGCTGGATGTAGGGCTGTAAATTGGGTAGCAGCCATGGAGAGGATTCACATGAGGCTCAAAACCTGATGTGAAGAGAGCAGAGGGGAGGAAGGCAGAGCAAAAGGGATGGATTTCCCTTCCGTCAGCAGATTGTGAACAGTCTGAGGAACAGAGGTGGCTGTGGGTATCGCAGACTGAAGACGGGGCATGTGGTGCCCCCTCACCTACATGGAAAAGCCATCCCCTTCACTTTGATCTCCTCAACTACTGCGGAGAATGAACGCTATTATGTGTAGACTACAGACAACATGGGTAGTGTACAAAGAAAACATACCTCAGAAGTCTACAAACAAGGTGATTAGACATGATCCTTTAATTCTGCATTATGCTAAGGGAACAAAACCCTCCAGTTTTAGGCTAAGGATTATTTTAATATCCATGTAGGTATGGTGTAAAGTATGCTTCTATTTCATCAAAAAGATCGCTACTCCTATATTCTTCATAAGGAGAGTGGCCAGGGTCTGAGACATTATGGCGTAAATATTCCATGTGCATGTTTATGTATATATATGTGCATATTCACATACGCTTACACTTGGATTATTTACACCGCTAACATGAAGAAAGAAATACACATATTCTTTTATTTATAAGACACTGAAATTTTTACGCCTATGGTGACTCATTGTGCCATGTCAGTTCGTAACTATTTTTCTTGGTATAAAACTAACTGAGAGACTTCAATTGGCCAGAAGAGAGTCAATTTGTCACCCTAAGATTAGAGAAGTAGTGCACTCTTCCACCAAATAGAGAATATTCTCCATACGCAAAATTGACAATATGATAAAAATGGGAAATAAGTTTAAAATGGCTGGTACACAGTAGATGCTCAATAAATAGTTGTTGTTTAGAGAATGAAATTCATGATAACATGCTTTAATAATCCTGTAAAAAGATATTAAGAAAACAGACAAATTAAGGAAAAAAAAGGCATTTGTGTCTAAAGCAGTAGCTACAGGTGGTTAATGGAGCTAGCAAAGACCTTATATTTTTTCCAGCATTTACTGGCTTGCAACATCTCCTGGAATGTAATGGCTTCATGCTGAAAATAGGATAGTTCTGCTCATCAAGCAGGAGAAAGGCTAGCCCAGGTATCATAGGAAGGTACCACTGGGAATAAACTTTCTGAGCTGAAAAGCCATTAATTGGTGAGGCTGAATTCCGCAGTCATTATTTCTAACATAATCTCCATAGCTTGTGCCCGAGGATACAGCTTTCTTACTCAGCATGACCAGAGAGTGTGATCTAGCGGGAAATCTCCACGATTAGAGAGAGAGAAGAAAAGTCACTGCCCTCTTAGTGGAGACACTGGGGTCCACCTCCGGCCAGGCTTCTTTAAGTTCTTGAAGGAAACCAACTGGGTTATCGTTTTCGACTTGACCAAAAAGCTTTGGGAGTGAATCACAAGTGGCAGCTACATGTAAATGAGTCTAACAGCAGAGTGTTTTATCTTTCACGTACCGTATACATACAGCATATAATCCGAATGAGCTTTCCCCACTATGTTGGAAGCTTCACAGCGGTATGTACCATTATCTGTTTTGTTTAGGTTATTGATGAACAGGTTGGGCCCGGACAGCACGGCATGCTGAGGCATTTCATCATCCACTCTCACCCAAGTTACCATCACAGGCCTGCAGAGGAAAGGGGAGAAAGACAGGTTGCATTATTATTCCCCACTAGGATGTCCGCATCAAACTTCTCAGCCACGCATTTAATGAATCGCACACAGGGTGACACAATTAAAG